AAACAAGCAGCCGATATTATGATGGATAGTCCGGCTGCATTACAATTACGTTATTTACAAACATTAAATTCGATTGCTGGTGAAAAAAATTCTACAATAATTTTTCCGGTAAAATTTTTTCTTATTTGTTCAAAAAGAATGTTTCTGGAAATTTTCTGCTTTCCAATTTTTTTAGATTCCTATGGAATTTTTTCATGGATTTATTCATCATAATCAACATCAACAACAACAACCGACTAAAATCGATCCAACATGACCGATCTATCGTTAATCCACATCGCAAAATATCTTTTAGAAAAATAGACTTTTGCTTGTTTGTTTTCGAAAAAAGAAAATTTCCCAGGCAGAAATTTTCCGGAAAATTTGAAAAAAAAACAATTGGGTTTTCTTTTAAAACTTATTTATTAAATAAAAACAACTTTTATAAGAAAAAAAAAGTATTACAAAATCATTTATAATGGGAATATCCTGTTGTAAAAGATGAGCACATTCGTAAAAAAATGTAATGTTTGAATCTATATTCAAATGATTGCATATGATAGATTTTCGTGAAATCTTGAATGAAATCAATCACAAACGATTTCTTTCGTTAATTTCGATTAATGATTTTCTTGAATCATCCTTTGAGATTCAATGACTTCAAAAGGAACATCTTCAGATGTTACGGAAGGAATCGGATTATTGCGTTTTCCAAACTTGAATATTGATATCTCGTTCGCTGTGCGGTAATTCCTTTTATTTTTCCAAGCCAAGCATTTACTATCAATTTTAACAGAACCGTTCAATTGCGAATGTAAATACTCTGGCGGAGCAATTGTATTCAGATGTATGTATTCTAAACGTGATAATTCACATTTTTCCAGAATACCGTTATTGATTTCGGTCGTTATAATTCGTTATTTTCGATAGGCGATAATTACATCCATGAATCAAGGTTGAAAATTGTTTTTGGTGTTGAATATCATCTCTTGTAGATGCATCAGCTATGATGACTAAATATTGAAGAAAAAAAAATCGAAAACGCATGTAAAAAACATCAACGACGACAAAAAGCGATAAAAAAATTCGAATTCGAACATTACAACGTTTATGAATGGGAATTTTACTCACTTTTTTTTTCACTGTGATGAGTCAACTCACACTCAACTCACTCATTGCTGCTGCTGGCTGGCTGTTATAAAAATTCGATTTCCGTCATTCGAATGTTATTTTTTTGTTTTGTTGTGTGTGTTTAACCTGTGACATTCTTGGTTTTTTTTGTTTTGTTTCTGTTTTTTCTTCTTGTTTTTTTTTGTTTGTTTTCAGGTTAAGTTTTTTTCTCGGTATTGCGATTTGAAAAAAACACAATGGACATTGAAATTTATTATCAACGAATGCGTTCGGATGAAGTATTCAATGTAATACGTAATTTATCCGAAAAATTTGCTATGATGAATCATCATGAAAATGATATACAAATGGCCGATGTTAATAATAATAATGATCATAATGATGGTAATAATAATAACGATAATCGCTTTAAAGGTTCAACAACATTATATTATGGTCGATCACAATCATTGGATACTGATAAAATTATTAATAATCTATATGGATCATCTGATAATCATNGAATAGATTTTATCACGTGATTCGGTAACAGTTTCCGTTGATGCTGTTGTTTATTTTCGTATTAGTAATGCAACAGTTGCCGTTTCGAATGTTGAAGATTATGGCCGATCAACTCGTTTGTTGGCTGCTACAACATTGAGAAATGTTCTTGGTACTAAAGATCTATCGCAAATTCTAAGCGAACGTGAATCAATATCGCATGTTATGCAAAGTTCATTGGATGAAGCAACCGATCCATGGGGTGTTAAAGTTGAACGTGTTGAAATGTAAGTTTTTGAAACCGTTTATCTTCCGCTCACCATCAATAATCGTTTTTTTTTGTGGTTGAAAATAACAGTAAAGATGTCCGGTTACCAGTACAATTACAACGTGCAATGGCAGCTGAAGCTGAAGCAGCACGTGAAGCACGTGCCAAAGTTATTGCTGCTGAAGGTGAACAACGTGCATCACAAGCATTAAGACAAGCAGCTGAAGTTATGTCCGGTAATCCGGCTGCATTACAATTACGTTATCTACAAACATTAAGTTCAATTGCAGCGGAAAAAAATTCAACAATTGTTTTTCCGGTAATTCTGTTGTTGCTTTTCGAAGTTTTTCCAAAAAAAAAATTAACCCAATCTTTCTTCGTTTATCTTCCTTCCTAATTAGATACCATTGGAATTATTCAAGGGTATGATCAAGGCGTAAATAATTTATTTATATAATTACCATGCATGTTATGCCATCCATTTATTTATTTATTACTAACACATCCATTCATCAATAATCAATCAATAATCAATAATCAATCGAATCAATCATCAAAAACATCATCACCAATATTAATTAATCAATAATCAATTTGCTTTTCGACGTTCGAAAATTCACTAACGTTCGAACATTTGTTATTGTTATTTTAATGTTATTAACTGTTCTCTCAAACGCCATCTATTGATTTTAATTTTTTCAAATGTTTTTTTCATCATTTTAAAAATTCCTAAAAAATATGTAGCGATAATACCGAAATTGGATAGAAAAAATTCATCCGAACAAGTAGCAAAAAATGTTTGAACATTGAAACAAACAACAACAACATTCATTCATTTTAGCCATCATCCTCATCATCTTCATTTGGCCACTTTGTATCTTTTTTTTCTACATAGGGAAAAAAAGATACAAAAAAAAAACGATACATTTGTAGCAAACTTACCTACACAAACACACAAATACAGAAGAAAGGTTAAAGAAGGGTTAAGAAAAAAAATCATTTATTTTTATTAAATTCAAACAAAAACATTTAAAACATATAAAAAACGACAAACGAAATAAAGGAATGTTTTTGGAAAAATTATGCCATTTGATTTTGATTTAGTTATTGATTGATTGATTTTGCATCATCGAATTGGATTAAAGGGTTAAAGGGTTAACGGATTATTTCGGTTCAAATTAATTTCAATTCTTCAAGAATAAATATTTGAAATATTTTCATTAGATTATTGATGGTAGGATGATGAAGATTACGGCCATCATCACCTTCAAGATGCCAATTTAATGGAAATGGTGTCGATATGATATGTAAAATATTTACTCCCAGTTTTTGAAACGGTATATGATCATCTTCAATTTCGGATGTTGAAAATGGACAACGTGAAAAATAATTTGTTCCACTTAAACGATTTGTTTCCAATAATTTAAAACGATTTAATTTTCGTTCAATACGAGATAAATGATCAAACATTTTCTGTGTTTTCGAATAATATGAACAAAATCTTGGACTAGCTTCACCAATTAAATCCAATAGGATTAATACTTGTATTCGATCCAGTTCGGTTTCAACATTGCGTGGACAAAAATTCGATCGTGATGATAATGAATTTAAACGTGCAGCTAAATGACGTGATCCATATAGGGAATCATCATTTGTCCAACGTTGAAATGCTTCTTCACCATCAAACATAATCACCTGCAGTGTTATATCATCATTCTATTAACCCGGTGGGGGGAAGAAACAACAGAAAAATTAGACATATTTTTCAATTGATTGAATCATCATCACTTACCTGATTTTTATGTTGTTTTAATTTCGGATCAAGTTTTCGTAATAATTCTAAAATCATTGTACAAGGTACAGCTGAATCGGTTGCACCCAAAAAATCAAAATCCGGAAAATATTTTGAATCATAATGACATGCCAAAACAATACGTTTACATGCTTGTGGATTTAATGTTCCAACAATGTTTGTAAATTTTTTCCGTCCCATCGGTGTATTGGTTTCAAATTCATCCTGTTCAACTGTCCATTCAAGATTATTTAGATAATTAACAATAAACTAATGGTGGGGAAGAGAAGAAAGATTTGATTAGAATCGGTTAGATTTGAGATTGAATAGGTAAAATACATTTTTAACATTAGCATGACTAGGTGTATCAACAACTCTTGGTACCAAAATTCGTTTCAATGTTTGATTAAAACGTTGCAAATCATCATTATTCAATTTAGTCCATTGTTTTAATGTTTGATCAGGTTTTGTTTCAACACCGGCCTGATTCAATTAAACGAAAAACAAAAAGAAAAATTAATCAACTAAATGGCAGAAAGACTGAAAAAAGTCATACCTTATTATCACGTTTTGATGATGATGTTGATAAAACAATATTATATAATGATAATGTTATAAATAATGATATTATAAATATTAAAATTAATATAATAGGATTATTACGACGTGATAAAACCATCGTTAGTTTATAATTCAAGGACAAATAAGAAAAAACGAATGAATCAATCAATCACAATATTAGGGTTTTCATTTTATCACAACATTATTGAGCAATCATTTTGTATTAGGATTCGTCCATTTCATTTTCGTTTGTAGAAAAAAAGATTAAGGCGCCAAATTTGAAATTCAAAAATTAGAAAAAAAAATCAGAAAAAGAAATGAAAATTTTGAAAAAATTGACGACGTGGTGATTTTTGTTTGTTTTGGTTTTTGTTTCGAATTCTATTCGAAAAGGACGTTCATAAAGTACGTAATCGAATGTTTGTAAAATTGGATTTCCCGTTATGTTTGTTTTTTGTTTACTTTGATTCTTTTCGGTTAATGATATTATCATCATCATTTGAAACACACAACTTACCATTTGCTGGAACAAGGATAAAATCGATTCAAATTGTCGGGATTGTCGTAAGGGTAAATTATTATTAGCATTACCATGATTGATTTGATTATAATTAATCGATAAAATTTGACAAAAATTTTTATGAATTAATTGATGAAAAATCAATACAATCAACAATAACGTTGGAATGAAATGGAATCGTTCGATTCGAATGAAATGATGATGAAATGTAGCCATCGTTTTTGTCAAATTTTTTGAAAATGTTTGCTAACCAAAAAAAGTGAAGTGAAGAAGAATTTCGTGAAGGATACAAATCAACAAAACGAAAAAAAAACTGGTTTCCAATGATCAAACAAATAAAAACTGGATAATATCACGATCTGTCAATGACCATCACGTCTAACGGAGAACTAATCGATTAATCAGCCACAAATCAATCAATTTATCGAAAAAAAACAAGAAAACTGTTTCGCATTTGAAAATTTTAAATTTCAAACAACCATTGAATATTCAATGATCCGATTTGAAAACGAATGAATGACAACGATGAATGGCAAGGATGATGATTTTGTTTTGTTTGAAAAATTCAACTTTTTCTCCGCATCCAAATGTTTGAAGGTAATATGATGATGATGAGAAACAGAAACAGAAAACGATGTTTAAATCACGATTCTAATCATGATGATCATCATGGAAATGAAACGAAACGAAAAAAGTTTTTTGTTTGTGTTTAAAGTTTTGTCGTCATCAAAATCGAATCAAACCAAAATCTGATTTTGGTTTTTTTATTTTGGAGTTAACCATGGTTCGTACGTCATTCACCAAAGAAAATTCCTGCTAAATTCTTTTTCCCCTTTATTTTGATCCAGTTATAAGTCTTCTCTCTTCTTTTCGTTGTTGTTGGAGTAATTAACACCATTCAGTCGGTCCACCTACGCATCTTGTTTGTTTACCGAAATAATTAATTGAAAAATGAATTAAGAAATTATTCAATTAATCATAATCAACAACAACAACAACAACAATGAAAGCAACAACAACAAAAATCTCATTAACCAGAAATAGAATTGTAGGAAAAAAAGTCTCTCATTTTCTTCATTTGGGTACATTTGGTTCCCATTGGGAACCCGATGTCTGACCAGAAACCAGAAAACCAGAAAACCGAAACAAAAAAAAATTGTCATAAATAATTAATGATGATGAGGAAAAGTGGAGAATATTCTACGAAAAGAAAACGAAACGAAAATAACGAAAATGAAATGAAAATTTCAAAAAAAAAAATCGGATCATATTACAAATACGGAAATCAACATTTTTTTACATTTACATTTCGACAACTACAGTGATAAAGGCAATTATATTTCTGCTTTTTAAAAAATCATCATACAGTGGTACCTCGGTTAACGAATACCTCGGTTAACGAAATTTTCGGTTAACGATTTCGGTCAGGAAACCGTTAACGACGATTTTTTTCGGTTAACGATGATTAAAAAACAAGTATTGCATTGTATTTCGGTTAACGAACATTTCGGTTAACGACGGTTTTTCAGGAACCGATCATCGTCGTTAACCGAGGTACCACTGTATTTCACTATTCGCGTTTTGGTACAGCTGAATCGGNAAAATCATTATATTTCACTACAGTGGTACCTCGGTTAACGAATACCTCGGTTAACGAAATTTTCGGTTAACGATTTCGGTCAGGAAACCGTTAACGACGATTTTTTTCGGTTAACGATGATTAAAAAACAAGTATTGCATTGTATTTCGGTTAACGAACATTTCGGTTAACGACGGTTTTTCAGGAACCGATCATCGTCGTTAACCGAGGTACCACTGTATTTCACTATTCGCGTTTTCCCACAGCATTTGCACTTGATACAAAGAGAGATACATACGATATATACAGAAAGAAACTGACAGAAATCATACGATATATAGAAGATATATTTTGTATCGATTTTTTTTGTTTTTGCTACATTTATACATACATTTTACATTTTATTAAATGGCGTGTTTTATATGGCTTGATATATATAGTGAGATAAAAAACTAGTAGCATTATCTTCAAAAGATGCTGTTATGCTGTTATCGATGATGATCATCCTTTCGGTTTAAGAATAATAAAAATTTTCTTCTTCTTCTTTGAATATTAACCTTGACGTAGTAAAAAAAATAGTTGAATAAAGAATAGGGTTGTGCGGTTTGTTTGGTGTAATGAAAGAAAGAAAGAAGCCATGCCTGAATCGAAAAACCAAAACCAAAAAAAAAACAAAGATTGCAAAACTGGCTAGCTGATGATGATCTGTTTGGCAGTGAAAACAGACAATGAAATGAAATGAAAAACATTGAAAAAAGGTTTTCTGTTACTTTTATCAATTTTTTTTTGTTTTGAAAACATCATTTTTTCTTGATTTGTTTTGTTTTGTTTTTTTCCCCAGTTATCAAGCAAACAACACAGAAGAAGAAATGATGATGATGATGATGAACAATATTTGAAACGATAAAAGGTATGTTTTTTTGTTTTATTTATTTGTGTGGTTATGATTTTTGAATTTGGTTAATTTTTTTTCTGTTTCTGTTCTTCTTTGAATTTTAAATTTTAAAACATTGTTTTTTTCTTTGAAAACAAAAACAAATTTCCATTGAATTTCCCTTGAATTTTCAAAAAAATTTTCGAAATGAAAAAAGTTATTTTAATCAATTTGATCATCATCATCAAATTCCTGTGTGAAAACTTTGTTTGTTTTTTTTTTAATGTTGAGGAAATCAATCAGGAAAATCATTATTGGTTATCAATCAATCAAAATTTGACGTAGTAAATTTTTTAAACGTCAAATCAAGTTTCAAAAAAAAACTAACTGAAAAAAGGCTTAAAAAAAAAAACAATCGAAAAACCAAACAGAGAAACAATGTTGAATTTTGATTGAAATGAATGGAATGAAATGAACGTCATTGATTGATTGATTGATTGATTGGTTTATTGCATATCAAACAGAACAGAAAAATTTCCCCTGATTTCACTGATTTGAATGGACATATTTAGTGAAACCAAAAATCGATAAAAAAGAATGTGTGAAAACGATTGAAAGAAACGAGACAAGCAAGCAAGCAAAGATTTACTGTTGTGTTATTTAACACGTTGGTGTGTGTTCCTTCCGTCAGAATTCTAGAATTTTTTTCTCCTTTTTCAAAACAAACAAGCAAACAAACAACATTTCTTTGCACACATTTTACTGGGGAAAAAAAAGATACATTTTTTCTTTTTTTTTTTGAAAACCAGAAAAACCAAAAAAAAACAACTTTTTTTCCGCCTAGTTCATCAAAAAAATTCTTCTTTTCTCTGTTTGTTTCTATATAAATCGATTGTTTGATTAACCCATTACTTCATTCCAGTGATTTACTAATGATTTTTGTAATTGCTAAAATAATTCATTTGTAAACGTCAAATATTTATCAGTGAAATTTTTTTTTTACAATCACTATTTGTATGCGTGGGTGGGATGATGTTTGGTAATTTTTTTTTTTTTTGTAAAAAAAATTACTAAAAGGATGATCATCATTTGAAGAAAATCGAACCATTTGTTGAGATAATAAAACACACACGCCATCATAATCATCAAACAGAAGATAATTGAAAATTGTTAAAGAGAAATAGCGAATGAGAGAGGTGGATATTTTTTGTTTCTTTTTCATTTCTTAACTGATTGACCAAAATACATCACGCCATTTCTCTCTCTCTCTTTTTCTCCCTATCTCCCTTCCTTGGTGTTAATATAATTAGTAACATTTTTGTTTGTTTCAAACTTTTTTTTATAATTTTTTATTTTAGATTTCTTTTTTTAATCGTTCATCACTTCCAAGAAAACTTCTTCAAAAAACTTCTTCAAAACTTCAATCACCATTCAATTATTGATCCCTCTGTGTGTGTTTTCAATCATCAATTTTACGAAGAAAAAACAAAGCAGAAAAACAAAACCAAAAACAAAATGAATAATTTTCAATTATTGTTTCCATATAAAACAAACAATCCATTATCACCAAATTATAGTTTTATATTTAAATTTGAAAATGA